ATGAGGGGGAGGGGGAGGGGGAGGAGGGGAGGAGGAGGAGAAGAGGAGGGGGAGGAGGAGGGGGAGAAGAAGGAGACTAATCTATGTACACCAGGTTTTCAAAAAATGTTTTGCCCATTTCTTTTTTTCAAGAACGTTTTGTATTTGGTGTTTAAGTCACCCAACAAAATGTGTTCTCTTACAGTTAGCATTTCTTTAACACTTTGCCATCACAAGGCTCATATAGTAAAAACCCTTGCCATCAAAGGCAAAGGCATTTTGGGGAAAATCCAAAGAAACTGGGTGGTACACATCGCCGATCGGCAAATTGTGACGCCAAAGTGTTGAAGACCGTGAATTCACACGCGGAAAATAAACCCAGCATGCGGTGAGGATTTTTTGGTTGTAACTATTACATCCTCAATAAAAAGCAGAATATAATTAAAAAAATTAATTTAAAAAACACACAGCAACACTTGGAAGACCACTCACAATATCCAGCCTGCCGTCAGGACTTGTGAAGTTAAACGGCTGTGGCAGTAGACTCTCCTCAGGGAAACCAGCACTGGTCAAGATCTCTATCAGCTGGTTCTGGGGAAAAACAAAACCAAACAAAAAAAAATAACTTAGAGATTATTAAGTCATGACCTGAACGAGAATGAAAACTGGAAACCAAAAAAAAAACAAAATCAGAAAAATAAAAACAAAACAAAAACTCATCTACACAATGTCAGGCATATATATCTACTCCGAAATTTTTGAAAATCCCATTTTTTAAAAACTGATATAAAACGAATAAATACAACATGAGTATAAAGTGGCCTCAACAGCCTGTTCCTTTCATCTCTCTCTCATCTCATTTCGTTTCGGTTTTGAAAACGATACAGGAATAATAAAAAGGAATATATCAGAAAAATTTCAAAACAAAAACAAAAATAGTTTAGAATTACGACACATTCTGGGATATCCATCATTGTGGAGAAAAACGCACTATAATATGACACAAAAGTCTCAACAACAATAAGAACCAACAAAAAATAGCAACAGGAACCAACAACAAAAACAACGGCAAACTCTTACTTTCGCCTCCCAGGTCATGCGCAGCGTTTGCATATTCAGCGATTTGTGCTCACAGAAGCTAATCTCAGCTTGTTCTCCACCGGACCTTTGAAGTTTGAGGAAAACATTGAAAAAAAAATGACATAAATAAATATATACAAAGAGGGACGGAATAATGGTTATATCTGATTCAAAGACTTGTATTAAAATATCATAGGTTATAGCTGAGTGCATGTGCAACCTTTTCCTCTTTGTTCTTTATTTGGTTCCAAATTTAGTCAAATGGTGTGCTCCATCGTGTAATGGAATTATGCTAGAGTGTGAAGTCCAGAATATTATAGTCTCAAATAGTACTAGTCTATAATCTGAATAGACTTTCATTGACAAAAAAGGAAAAAAAGATGCTTGGGGAAAGAATGGTGGGTGGGAGGGAGGAGGAGTAGTTTAAGTGTAGGAGTGATCTACCCCTAAATAGTGGAACTCAGCACAGAACTGAAGCAAAAGGGGAGCTAATTAACCAAAGACAAACAGACTGACCTGGCGTCCTCCCACATCTGGAAGGCGTTGAGCAAGGCCACGTGGTCGCTGGCCCGACTGCCCGCCATGTTCTTGTGCACCCAGCCCAGGCGGCGCCGGTCCGTGGGCACGATGAAGGGCTCGGGGAACGTGGTGCTGGCCGCGATGGTGCACATGGCATCTCCCACACTGGGAAGGACAACAATAGTGCATGTTACTGTAAGGGGTATTTGTGAGACTTTCAGAGTCATAAAACATTAGGAAAGATTTAAGTTAGATAAATGGTTCAAAGTTTTCTTAATGTTCAGGGTTAACGACTATAGTACAATAAATGGTTCCAAATCATTCTTTTTTTCAGCTTTAAGCAGCATTATACATTGATGGTGTAATGCTTTAACCATGTAACTGAGACAAAAGGGTCAACTACTTTTTTGTTCTAAAACCATTGCCTTGGTCAATCTGCAGGTCCTTAACGAAAATCAGGAGTCAGCTTGCACTATAAATACAAGTAGAACAGAAGTACTGTGTTTGTTTATACTTTGTGTCTACTTTCATCACATATTCAGAAGGCATTTTTTGCTGATTGAACAATTTTCATGAGATCAGTTACACGGACCCACAGATCTCAGCTGTTGCAATAATTGTACAAGAACATTTTTTAAAAGGATTTTATGACTTTATTAATTTCCCGCAAGAAGAAATTGACATGAAACTCACTAGAAGATGCAGCCGTAAATGATCATCTTCCCCAAGCGAGGCTCTATGGGCATCTTGGCCAGCAGTCTGCCCAGGGGGGTCAGCTCATCATTGCTGTCCAGGGCTCTCATAGCTGGAGGAAGGAAACAAAAATAAAATCAGGTGGGAAGTCATTCGTTTGTTTGTCTGAATAAATAAGGAGTAACATAACAACATAATATTCCAGTTGAAAGAGTTGCAGAACTGGCTTACCATAGAAAACTGCATCTCCCCTCAATGCTTAACGGCAACATATGATGAAAAAGTAAAAGTAAAAGTAAGTAGAGCAGGGAAATAGAAAGAGTGATAGACAAAACTACAGAGGGAAATATAAAGCCATAATCTGAAATTATAATCTAAACCAGTTTTTAGTTTAAGTAAGAGTTTTACGGCACTTGTAACACAATAAGGTCATATAAGTGCCGAAGATTAGAGGTGTGACAAGAGTGTAACATAAAATAGAAGGAAGGGAGATAAAGACGATAGATGTTTGATAGGAAAGAAGAAGCAAACCACACCAGAGCACCCGCCAACCATTACAATCTAAAGCATGGACGAATCAACACAAGGAAAGAAAAGAAATCTATATAAGACCTTCAGTGGCACCCTCCAGCACCTGGCTTGAGGGAATGAAGATATTATACCTTGCTTTCAATTCCAAAGACCTGAAGACATTGCTGGCCTTTGTCAATCAAGGCAAACCCTGGCCTGGCAGAGCTTTGTATAAAAGGTCGAAAAGTCCACGTATAGCTGGAATGTTCCTGTCTATTTTTTAAACAGTTTGAGTACTCTCGAAAAAGAAAATAAGCATGGAAGTAAAGCTGAAAAGTTCTGGCCATACATATTCTTTGAAGCAATTTGGGAACTATAAAAAGAAAATCTGTTTGTTTGGGTAAAGAGAAGCACATCGACACAATGATGGCCATTTAGTGATGGAATAAGTAAGACAGACAGACACAGAAAAAACCCAGAGGGAAAGTGAAAAAGAAGGACCTAACAAACAGAGGCGCCCTCCAACCACCCGCTCAATAAAAGAAAACAAGAATAAAAGTAATAAAATATATATAATTTCTCCACTCAGGATTTGTTTTTCAGAGAATATTTCACAGACAACCTTAACTAAAAAATCAAGACCACTGACCTCTCAACATGACCTCCGCCTCAATGATGGCATCAATGGGCGGCGGCTCCACGGCCTTGGCCAGGAATCCCCCGATGGGTCCCAGACGAAGCAGCTTGATGGACAGGGCCAGCTCGTGGAGCGGCGTACGGAAGATCTCGGGGGTCGAGTGCTGCTCAAGCCTGAAACACAGACAAACACACACACACTCAAGGGTTTGGTACTTGTTTGTTTGTTTTAGTAAGTGCTTTACGGCACTTGCAACATGATAAGGTCATGTAAGTGCCAAAGATTAGAGGTATTACAAGAGAGTAATCAACACAAAAAAAGGAGCAGGGATAAGGACGATAAGATGTTTGATAGGAAAAAAGAAGCAGGATTTGGTACATGAATAGGTTTAAAGCCCCTGTCAACAATATTACGTTATTTAAGAGGCAGAACCTCCAAGTTTAAAGTTCATCTCCGAAAGGACCAAGCCAAATGGGAAATTTGTGTAAAGTGCCTTTCCCAACTTCAGACCGAGCTGAGGCTTGTATCCCCCATTCCCATAATCTCACGATTACAAGTCAGGTAGCCCTAAGGGTTTAAAAGTCGTTTCAGTTTGTGCTTTAGTAAAGAGAAGCATGTTGGCACAACAAAGGTCATGTAGTAGGGGGGGGGGGGGGGGTCATCTAGTAGGGGGGGGGGGTAAGACAGTAAAAAGAAACAGGTGAGGGAAAGAAGAGAAGTAAAACCTACCACGGGTGCGGTTTGGGTATGAAGAGAAGCTCATTGACACAATAACCAATACTGCCAATATAATGAGCAACAGAATTAATACATGCTCTCCCCCCCACTCCCAATTCTTACTTGGCAAACCGCGCCTTGCTGCACAGGTGGAAGGCAAAGTTGTTTTCTCTCCAGATTTAGTTTTAGTAAAAGTTTTACGGCGCTCACAACTGCATAAGGTCATATGAGCGCCAGAAGATTAGAGGTATTACAAGAGAGTAACAAACATAAAAAAGAAGGAGCGAAGATAAAGACGATAGATGTTTGACAGGATAGGAAAGAAGAAGCAACCCACACCAGAGCACCCGCCAACCACCCACTTTTCTCTCCAGAGGGGTGGCATAATGCTAATATAATGAAAAACAGAACCAGAACCAATCCACACCCCTCCCCCTCCCCACCATTCCCCAATCCTTACTTGGCAAACCGCGCCTTGCTGCACAGGTGAAAGACAAAACCGTTTTCTCTCCAGAGGTGTAGCATATTACCAATATAATTAATGAACAACAGAACCAATACATGCTCCCCCCACCACCACACCCTCTCCCTCCCCCTCAACCCTCCCCTTGCCAATCCTTACTTGGCAAAGCGTGCCTTGCTGCACAGGTGGAAGGAAAATCCGGCCCTGACACGGCCCGCTCGGCCCCGCCTCTGCTCCAGGTTGGTCTTACTGGCCCAGACGGTGGCGTAGTTGGTCATGTTGTTGTGGGAGGTGAACAGCTTCATCTTCACTCTGGGCCAGGCACACAGGATAGATATAATAATTAATAATAGCCCACATATATACAAGTTCATTTCCACACAGAAGACAAAAACTACACACAGGCATCGAAAACTATTTGAGGATTCGTTTTGGTAAGAGCTTTACAGCATTTGCAACAACATAAGACCATGTAAGTATAACAAGTGTCGTAGATTAGAAGTGTTAAAAGAGAGACAGAAGAGCTTTACACGATTTGCAACAACAGAAGGTCATATAAGTGCCGAAGAATAATATAATATTACAAAAGGGTAGCAAACACAAAAAAAGAAGGAGGAGAGATAAGGACGATAGATGTTTGAAAGGAAAGGAGGAGCAAACCACCTCAGAGCACCCACCAACCACCCATAAACCACCAGAGGCATAGTCGGTCATGTTGTTGTGGGAGGTGAACAGCTTCATCATCCCTCTGGTCCAGGCACAGAGGAGAGATATAATAACTCTCTACATATGGTCGCTTTTAAGGACAAGTGGGCTAACTGAGATTTCCGGGGTTTCCAGAAATCTTGACCGACACCAAAAGTGGGCATTGCCCTACCTCCTACAGAAGAAGTAGTTTCATTGGTGTGCATATGTGTTTGGTTATAGAGAAAACTCTCCTCGTCTTTTAAGGAAACTGAACAAGTGGCAAAAACTTTACCTTCGGTTTTCTCAAAACAGCATTTTTTAGGATAGCCCCTTCGTGCTTAAAAGCGACCATATACAAATTTTATTTCCCCACAGAGGACAAAAACTACACACTGGCATCCAAAACTATTAGAGGATTCGTCATGGGAGATTTACAACACTGCAACAACATAAAATAAGTGATGAAGATTAATATATGACAAGAGGGCAGCAAACATACACAAAAAAAGGAGGAGAGATAAGGACGATAGAGGAAAGAATGAGTAAACCACCTCAGAGCACCCGCAAACTACCAGAGGCATAGTTGGTCGTGTTGTTGTGAGAGGTGAACAGCTAATGTATGTATATCTTCAAAAAATAAAATGGTGAAATGGTATGTGTTAAATGCCCCTATCAATTGTATATCTTCACCCTGGTCGAGGGGAAAGAAATATCAATAGTAAAGATAAATTAAAATAAACTTTTTGTTCACATCATCATTATGATATCCTCATCTTAGTACATAGCTGTCAACTTTTCAAAACAATAAAAAAAAAAACAGTACCGATGTGGTGAATCAAGATGAACATTGGTCAAGTAACACCCCTCTCCCCCCCCTCCAAACTAACCGCATCCTAAGAATGTCAGGATTGTTTCTCCGTGACACACAGTTTTGAGAAAATGGGATTAAAAGATTCAGTTATAGTTAAATTGTTTTACTATTACAATTAAAATGTTTTAACGTTTTATTTATGAAGCGTCAAATTGAAAAAAATACACGCCATGCGGGGCATCTGTGTCAGTAATGGGTTTACTCAGTTCTCGCAGAATGTGGAGCAAGAACCCTGTTATTCTAAGAGCTTGTAGTGGCACCCTCCAAAGCGCCCACATATAAGAGAACACGAACAAACTCACTTGCAAGAGTCGATGACGTAGACGACATCATCGATGGTGACGCTGGTCTCTGCGATGTTTGTGGACAGGATGATCTGGGATAAAAGAGCAAATCCTTTATTATTATGCTTCTCTACAAGTTAAGATTGTTTCAGAATGCTGTCGGGTCTACTGAGGTCATATACTATAGATTCCCAAGCACATAGAGCTTGCTGATGAGTGGGAATTTGTGCTATACAATTCTATTTATTTTTTATTGTCATTATTTGTGTAAGGATAGCACATCAACACAGCTTCTGTTGTCTAGTGCAGGAAGAAAGTGTAACAGACTGTCTCAGAAAAATCAACAATCATCATCGCCAAGTGCTAGATCTGAAGTGGACATTGTCAGTCATTTCTTCTGGCTAATTTCTCTGCATAGATGCTCTTAAAAAAAAAAAATCCTCTTTATTTTCCAGATTTTCCCCTCTCATTCATTTGTACAAGATCAGTAAGTAACTTGCTTTCAGCCTACCTCGGCCTCTTTCGGTTTCTCTTTTTCCAGTGAGAGCAAGATTTTCAAGACATTTATGTTGATTCATGTCTTCTGGAAATAAGTTTTACCAAATGACAAAGTTTGCAAAGAAATATGCAAATTGCAACATACCTTTGTGACTCCTTCCGGCACGGGCTCAAACACTTTCCTCTGATCCTCACGCGGGATGGAGGAGTGGAGGGGGAGGATGCGGTACCGGGAACTGCCTGCAGAGCAGAAATTGAGAATCTATTATCAGGTGACGAAAAAAGGGAAGGCTCATGATGGGACAGAGTTGCCCTCCGTGTGACTAAATGATCCCATACTGCCGAAAGCTGTCAAAACGCTTTTCTTTTTTATTCATAGCAGTTTTGAAAAAAAGAGGGGTTTTTTTGGTCAGCATAACCTTTTAAAAATAGTATTCTTCAAAAATTTTGAACTCTAATCTATTAAAAAAATTAGTCAGTTAGTTAGTTTCACTTTGATTTTTTTTACACAAGTAGGGTAACTGATCAGGCTTTCGATTTAGCAAATAAAACATTTCGGTGCTAAAATGTAAAAAGGTATTTTGTCAGCTTACGGCGGAATATAGAACCAAAGATCACACAATACAAGATGGTTCAGTCTTCTATTAGAAACGCTATATTAAAAAAAAAAAAAAACACGTAAAAATGCGCCACCTTGTTGTGAACTGTTGTGGTAAATTGTAGTGAACCATCTCATAGTACGTTAATTTGTAGTGTACTATCTCCTGTACTATCTCGTAGTGTGGTAACTTGTGAACTATCTCATATTATTGTAGTTTGTAGTGTACTATCTCATGGTGAACTATCTGGCAGTGGACTATCTTAGGCAGAACTCACCAAACTCCGGGGTCTGCTCCAGATGTTTCTGCATCATGAAGATGAGGTTCCAGCCCGGCAGGAAAAAGAGAACAGCCCCCGGCACATTCAGGGACTTTATATAACGCAGCAGAGACTAGAAAACAAAAAGATGTAATTGGACATGTTTCAGGCTCCCACCAGCACAAGTTTGATGGAAGGTGTGCAACATTTTTCCTTGGCGAGCTACATTCAAACACTGGAGAAACAACTGAAGACCTGAGAACAACACCAAGGTCAAGTCACATTTAAATGATTTCGAGAAAATGAACATAAACCTTGTTCCTGAAATACATTCAAGTTCTGATAAGACGGCTTAAATAGACTTTATACCGGACGTTGCCTTGTTGTTGCATTTAGGCTTCGAATCTTTTGACAAGAATAACTGGGTGTAGGAACAGAATAGCTCTTTGTCAGAGTTACTAATTGATAGCCTTTTGTCACCGCTTTCGAATGATGTGCAGAACTCTGTTTTTAGGAAAATGTGACTTAACCTTGTCATTGTTCCCTGGTCCTCAATAAGAGCCAGTCACTGTCAAAATAAGTAATCTTATGACAACTGGTACACTGAGTAATACATGATATGTGAGGCATCGTGTTGAAATCAGGCCCTCGTCAAAATAATGAAACCGAAGAAAAGGATATTTTCCCTCCAGTTTTGACAATTTTTATTGAATTTTTGTTTCTTGGCTCAACACCTTTTATGTCCATATAAAACACATCAAAAGGTGAATTTTACTGAAAAACGTTGATTAATGGCACAAAATGGGTACATTTTCAGTTTTCAAGGACTCTCAAGACATAGAAGTTACCAAACTTTGGCGGCCATTTTCTCGTTAATTTTACCTCTGAAACCAGACGACCCTCACCTCTTTCAATTGCAAATATCTCGACTTCTATTCAACATAGATTGATATTTTTTTTTACCAAAAGCAAGGCAAATGAAAAGGCTTTAAGATATCAATAACCCCATATGCCCAAAAATTGATGAGCGCCTGATTCCATCACGCCGTGCCACATATATAAAAACGCTTAGCGAGGGTCACACTGACTGGCCTGGCGGGTGGGGGTTGCAGCCTGTGAGCTCCCCGCTGCACAACCTAAATTAGATCAATTAGCTGACAGGCTCAATAACAGTCATTAAGCATTGGGGAAAAGCAAGAAAGATAGCTTAAAAACAGAGGGAAAGAAAAGATGTACGGTCTTCCAGTAGCACCTGCTAACAACCTGCCCTAATTATGAGTAGTAGTAGAGTTTTTCAGAGGTGCTGACTGGCTGCAAACATAAATATGGAACTTTTTAGACCCAATGCAAATATATGCATGAGACTCAACTCAAAACTGAAATTAGGTAAAATATGTATTCCTCAATTTTTTTGTTTAAATTGGCACCTCTGGTTTTTTTGAAAATTTTAAGATAAAACAAACAAAAAAGGGGGATCATTACAAAGAATCCCTATTTCTCTCACCTCCACAAGGTCAAAGTTGATTTCTTTCTCTGGGATCTGAGCCATTGACATCCTTGTGGATTCAGCATAGCCTGGCCCGATGACCTTGTTACAGTTCTCCTGTAATAAGAAAGTACAGGTCACTCATTACCTCCACAAATCACAAAAGTAGCCTCATTAATAAACAAACCCAAAAACAAGTAAAACCAGTTGCACTTCAATCATAATGTTGAAACTTAACATTTTTTCTTTAAAAAATATTGTATACCGGTTGACACCATTAAAGGAAATACCGATTACACATTCAACACGATTTGGAAACAAAATTATTTTTTGGGGGGGATGATTTCAGGTATTCAATTCTTCCTAAATATCCGTGAGGCTTTTAAGTACAAACCCCACAGCGCAATAAGTAGGCCAGCCACTACATAAATCCACAGAGACAAAAAAGAACCTAGTACAATCAAAAAAGATTTCAAAACTTACATTTAGGAACTGAACACATCAGAGACATTTTTTAGCTGAGGCCCACTTCTGCACGACACCATCAATACAACAGTACACAGTCAAATCGGCTTTAATGAGCATCTGTCCTAGACAATCACCTGTACAACTGACCATTTTTCACTTGCTCGCTTTTTTTGGGTTTTTTATTTTTAATATTATAATTATAACGACACTAAACAAGACGTCCACCTGGATACGATCATTCATATCCTCGAGAAAAGGTGGCCGTCTTGAACAATTCCGATTACTTTATATCAACCACAGGTTTCGTGTTCCACAAAAAAAAAAGGTAAATCAATCCAGACTCACATCGTCATCACCCCCATCTTCGTCATCATCGTCTCCTCCTCTGCTCTTCCTCTTTCTGTCGCTTGGTGGAGGGACAAAGTTGAGCATCTCTATACAGTCTTCCAGGTAGTACTCTGGAGACACAGATTTTGGATGTAAAGACCAACAAAAGGTTTTAAAGTCTCTTATGTATCGCAGTTGAAATTTCAGTCAGTTTGGTTTTCTTTAATGAAACGTCAGAAAATAAATAAATAGAAACAAAACTGTTGTGTTCTTCTAAAACTGAATATAACAATTTTTGTGTGTGTGTTAACATTACTGAATGAAAAAAAAAATAAAAGAATAAATAAATCAGTGTGTTTAATTAAAAAAGAATACAAAACCAAAGGGAGCTCAAGAGGAACATTTCAAGACAATGATAATGAAGAAAGGCCAAGAGAAGAAGATCACTGTGAAAGGGCAGGAGTTCAGGAAAAAATTTTCAAAACAAAAAATTCCTTTAATGACACAGTAATATGACTGATGGCAGGTTTGTGAATTTATGTGTGCGTGTGGGTGTGTGTGTGTGTGTGTGTGTGTTTGAGTGTGTTTGTGTATGTGTGTGCGTGTGTGGACCAGTTCATGTGTCTGAGGGCATGTATCTTATAAGTCTCCATAGTGTGAGTGAATATGTGAAAGCACTCATGCATGTTTTTCAGGAGTGTGAACGCACAAGTACATGTTCGCATGTGTGTGAGTGCACGTGTACATGTTCATGAGTGTGAGTGCATGTACCTGCACTCCTGCATATTTTTTTTTACCTTTTTAATGTAGGTCATCGGTGAAAGTTAGAAGACATTCTAAAACCTGAAGAGGTAGGGTGGGAATTTTCAAAAACCTGAAAGTCATCACACAGACAGTCCTGCTTCAAGACAATCATTTTGCATGTAGCGCAGTCGCTGGTCTAAAATACCAGCAGACCTCGGCCTGTTGAGGTTAAAAAAGTGGCGGGGTTGGCATATGCCGGCGAACTTTCACCCATGATGCAGGTGTTTTAACCCCCCCCCCGACACAATCCAGATCATTTAGAAGACATAAGTTCTCCTTAGACAGTTTAGTTTTAGTAAGAGTTTTATAGCACTTGCAACACAATAAGGTCATATAAGTGCCGAAGATTAGAGGTGTTACAAGAGAGTAACTAACACAAAAAATAGAAGGAGGGGAGATAAAGACGGTAGATGTTTGATAGGAAAGAAGAAGCAAACCACACCACAGCACCCGCCAACCACCCACCTGCTTAAGCTTGTGGGTGTATGCAGTGTAGTATTGTGTAAAGCGTATGGAGCTCGCATTTGAGCAAGGGTATGGCGATATACAAATGCTATTTATAATTTTAAAAATTATTATTATGTGTGAGCTTACTGATAACTCGACCCACCTTGCACGGGGAAGGTGCGGCCGTACACCTCCACCACGGAGACATGGCCGAAGTATTCAGTGAAAAGCGTGGTGTCCACTGTGGCCGACATGAGGATGACCCGCAGCTCGGGGTACGTACGCACCATATCGCGCAGCAACACCAGCAGGAAGTCCGTCTACGGAGGAGACAACAGAATCCAACAAGTTTAGTTTAGTTGTTTTTTAAGTTGTTTTTATTTTATTGAGGGGGGGGGGGGGATTTGGAGGTGTTTTTTTGTTGTTGGGGGGGGGGGGGGTTGTGACCATAAGAACAGGTAGTGGGTTATGGGGGAAAAAGGACAAGAGGAAGTCTATAAGGGAAAGAGAGCAAAATCCCTTAAGTTCTTTTCTTGTAACAATAAAAAGAAAAGAAAAGATTAGTCACTGGACAAAACACCAAGAGGGAAATCCATTGAGGAAAAATCAATAGAATTCTTCCACTTAAAAAAAAAGAAAAAAAAGAACAGATATGTTGTGGAAAAATATTAAAACAGGGAATTATACAAGTTTTTGTAGCGGACAATGAGAAGAAAATGGAACACAGGAAAATACACACAGGAAGAATTCTGTTGAGGAAAAAACCCAGCAATGGAATTCTTCAAGTTTGTTTGCCTGCTTGTTTGAGTAAAGAGAAGCACAAAGACACAAAAACAGTCATTAAGTGAATAGAAAGAGCAAGCCCGATAGAGAGAAACAACAGACGGAAAGAAGAAAAAAGTAGACACCAATAGCATTTTCACCCATCGCCTTCCTAAAAAATTAAAGGGGGGGGTGATGTTATGACATTCAGAAGAACAGATGGGACATTGGGACATGGGAACAAATTACCAGGAGGAAGTGGCAATGACAATGACACACAATCTTTATTCATCTCGCAGGGAGAAATTTGTCTTGGTCATTTTCAATAACAGGGGTGTTACACAGGTCAGGTGCACTCAGGCATACACACCAACGCATACACACCAAAGAAAGAAAGTTTGAGGAAGATAATAACAAAACAATTTTGCTTGAACAGGGTGTGAACACTGCACACAGTTTTCTTACAAATGTCGACATATTTTCATTTATTATTGAAAAATAACAAAGGATACCTACATTGATGTCCCGCTCGTGAATTTCATCCACAATGACGTGTGACACGCCTCTCAAGCCTCCCTCTAGTCGACGCAGTAAGGTTCCTTGAGAAGAACAATAACATTCCTATTACAGTGAAGACAAAGTGATAGTGTAGAGCACAAAACCGGGATATAAGTCCCAGATTTATCTATTTCTTTTTTAACTCTTTATCTCCGAGGAGGGTAAACCCACTATGCCGGGGCCTTTCTTGGAACTTAATCTAAAAATGACGAAAGCATCACTAAATTGGTCATTAAATCAAAATAAGTGAGTATCTTTTCATAGTTCTTCATCTAATGAATGAAATACCGATAAAAGAGACCTGTTTTCAGCAACTGACGAAAAGTTATTTGATGTCCACGTCGTTATAAAGGAATGTGCCGGAGCCGCTATCAGCGGTTCACCGGAACAGCGGTTCTGACCGCAAGGAGCTGGGAGCAGCTTGCCAGAGATAAAGAGTTAACCCTTTTGTTTCTTTTATGAGACCTTCCATAAGGTGCACTTATGTCTGACTTATTTAAACCACTTCACGTTTCAAACACATACAAAACCTGCTCTAACGACCACTTGTCAACTTGTAAAAAAAAAATTGCATGTAAAAGGTCAAGTCATTTTGATATGGGGTGTGGAGTGGGGGCACTTTACTTTTATTACTACCAACAACTCATGAGGCACGGGAAAGAAAAGACAAGACAAGACAAGACAAGACAAGACAAGACAAGATGCAGCGCGCAGCACGACAAACACTCACCCACAGTACAGTAGAGGATAGCTCCATACGGCCGCGGCATCACGGACTCGAACCTGACGCTGTAGCCCACAGACGTGCCCAACATTTCAGACCTCTCTACAGCAACACGCTCGGCGATGGACACGGCGCTGATACGTCTTGGCTGAGGGGAGAACCCAACAACATTTCCAAGCACATCATAAACAACAGAGCTATTTAACGACATAGTGTCATAGTGTACATTCATATGTACTCAAAAAAAAGAAAGAAAGAAGAATGAGGGTGAAACAAAAAATAAAAACCCACATCGGTAATGTCAGACAGAGACATGAAATGAAAAATTAGTAAAGCATACCGACAGTATCGGACAGAGATGGGTATCTCCAAGGATGCCTGTTTTATGAGAGAAGCAACACCTCTGTCTTACCATTGGTTTATTCTTTAAGTTTGATCTCCCATTCCTGAATAAAAATAATATCCATACTGTCAAACTGAAACGAAGTTATTATTAGTCTAAAAATTTTGAAACTAACGTTCTCATGATTTCCGTTGTATGACTGCCTGTTTTTCCACGTGAACTCCTCATTTATAATCATTGGGTAGAAGAAAGGTCAGGACAAAAAAAGGAAAACAGAAATCTTTCGTATCCCTCTCACCTGGGTAATGATGATGTTGCAGTTGGCACCTTGTCCTGCATTGACCATATAGTCCAAGATAAACTGTGGGACCTGGAGAACAGAGGGAGGAGGAAAGGAAATATATCAACGTACACAGGGGGAAAAAACGACCAAGTTTCCTGCCACTAACACATTTTTTTTGGTAAGAGTTTTACGGCACTTGCAACACAATTAAGTCATATAAGTGCAGAAGATTAGAGGTGTTACAAGGGAGTAACAAACACAAAAAAAGAAGGAGGGCGGACAAAGACGATAGATGTTTGATAGGAAAGAAGGAGCAAACCACACCAGAGCACCCGCCAACCACCCACACTAACACATTCATTAATATATCAACATACAGAGGAACAAGACGAGATCTATGACACCTCTAATTTCAGCAGCCATTTTATTATTATTCATGACAAAGTTGCAATAGTGTTTGACAAACAGACTTAAATCTTCATCCCACATTCACTTAAGAAAAACAACAACAAAAAAGCAAAATAAAACAAAACAAAACCCAAACAATCCGCAGTAACCCACCTGAGTGGTCTTTCCGCAGCCCGTCTCTCCACGGATGAGTGTGACCGGGCTCTGTCGGATCATGTTGAGGATGTACTCCTGTGAGCCGTGGACCGGAAGGCCGGCTCGCTTCTCCATCATCTGGACAATCATAATTTCTTTTTAAAATTTAGTAAGGAGTTTCGTTTAGTAAGATTTTTACGGCGCTCGCAACTGCTTAAGAGGAGTTTATGACATTTGCAACACAGTTAGATCATGTAAATGCCAAATATTACAGGTATCTCAAGAAAATAACAAAATACAATATTAAAAAAATTTTTAAGGACAGATAAAGATGATGAATGTTCGATAGGAAAAAAACGGAGCAAATCACACCAGAGCACCACTCACCAACTTCCCACATAAAAAGTACAGACGAGAAATGGTATTTATAAAAGGTTTCCATTTTTGCCTTTGTCTGCCTGTTTTGCTAAATCGTCTAGCTTGCTCCATTTTGTTCCACCAATACCATATTTATCAGAAAAACTTTTTCCCTTTTCACAATTCACAAAGGGGTCTTCTGCGAAATGCTATCATGAAATGCTACTACCACTATTACTTTTGTACTAATCAGAATGCAAGCTTCATGCTTTACTGCGGATATATTGCGGGCAGTATTGCATACAGACGTACCTCAAAGGCCGCCAAAAATGACTTACGTCTGTATGCAATACTGCCTGCGATATGTTGAACCTTGACAATTGTTTTAAAACAAAAAGCAGAGTAGAACTATTTCGGCCAGCAACATAGTAAGAGAATAACACAACCTTCATGATAAGAACACATGATGAATATTAAACAAAAGCAAAAAAAAAAAAAGCCTCCCAATAATTATGAAAAAAAATATATAAAAAAGAAACAATAATGACAAACCCGATGCAGATTTTCATCCTGCTGGTACTGTTCGGCCAAGTTGTTGCACAAGTCTCTGCTGATCTCCTCCAGCGTGGCCTGAGGATGGACAGAGACATCATAGGTCAAGGTCATTTCGGTTTGTCACAGCCATAACATATTTGCATGAGTTTCTTTTTCTCTCCAGGTTTCTGGTAATTGGTATGGTAACAATGCCTGTCGCTTTTTTCTTGTATGCACAATATAGCGTTGGTTTTTTTTTTAATTATATAGGAACAATTCGATGACAGAGAGAGCTTTTTACTTTCTCCCAAGTCATGTTCAACTTACAAAAGCACTTTTCTTTCTTTTTTTTTTTATTCAAGTTTTTTCAAAACAACAAAAAAATGACATAGGCAGAGGTGTTATGACCGAGGTGAGTTTAGTAAGCATTCACACACAATGAGGGTCATTAAGAGCACAGAAAAAAAACAACTGAGTAAGAGTATGAGAAAAGATAAGCACACTGAAACCAAAATGGTCATTTAGCACCGGGGGGGGAGTAAGACAGATAGACAGAAGTAACAGAGGGAAAGAAGTGAAGTCAGAACTACCTGTAGCACCCTCCAACTACCCACCTGCCAAGTAGTATGTTCTTTAGCACTCTATCAATATCAAGACCACCAGTATTTCAGCATTTAAAACAGAAAATCTCTCAGCCAAACGCAAAATACCTCACAGGTGCTACCCTCCAATCAACCGCAAAAATCAACAAAAACAACATAATTATCCACTAAAAGATAAGTCAGCTCGATGCAAAAATCCTCACAGGTGCCTCCTTCCAATCACCAGAACACCCCCCCCCCAATCATCTATGAAAAGATAAGCAGCTATATTCCGTCCTCACCGTAGCCATCGGCCCTTCGTCGATGTTGCAGTTCCTCCAGGGGTGCCAGTTGGGCACGGGGGGCGCCCACGAGACGACGCCTGGCGTGTTTTTCCTCGGGGCCGGGTCAAACTCTTCCAGGGTCGGGTGGTTGATCAGGGAGAGGGGTTCCGGGCCCGAGTCGTCCTCAGCACTCTGCTGCTGCTGTTGCTGTTGCTGCTGCTGGGCTCTCTGAGGACAAAAACAGCAACAGCAGTCCATCCTTAGAACGAGAGCCCATTGAGTAAATGTACAGTACAATGGAGTCCTCTTAAACCAAAAAATGCAGGACTACCCGATTTTGTGCAGATTACAAATATGTAATTAGTTCATGTCATTGATAGCATTGATGGTTTTTGAGTTTTTAGCTCTTGAAAGTGGTCCTTCAGATAGCCCAGTCTCACTGTAACTAGCCATTTCTGTGATTATGTAACTGAAAATGATTCTCAAAACTGAATATTTTTAATCCTTGAATGGAATACTTTGAGAAAATGAGAAAATTACAAGTAAAAATACCTTAATTGTAGACTTTGGTGCTATGAATTATGAAGTAGAGTGTGGCCTAAAGTGTAAAAACGAACTCACCTGGAAATGAGTGACAGGTGCAACTCCCCACTGACTCAAGCACTGGTCAATACTATTCTCCAGCTCTTCACTGATGGCCATCTCGTAAGGTGGAAGCTGGGAACAACAAAAAAACATAACTGAACAATATGAAATGCATTCATTATTTGAACACACCGAATTCAATAAAATAGAATGCGTACATTATTTGAATGCACACAGCCCGACCACAATAAAATGTATACATTAATCAAATGCACCCGACTCGAGTGCGATTAAATGCATATATTATGAATGCACCCTGCCCGACCAAGGTAAAATGCATACTGTACATTATTTGCATGAGCGTCTTCATTTTTCCTCAACGCAACTACACTAATCAACTCTACAGCTCAACAAGATATATAGGGAGAACCATTAAGCAGCTATTTACAGAGGACAGCACCAGCAAATTTGTTGGAAAAAAAAAGTAATTGCAAGAGGAAACGTACATTTTCAGCCTAGTATCATTTAAAATCACAAAAGCATCTCAATTAAAAATTGTCAAAAAAGAAAAATTCAATACTAAAACAATAAAAAATCAAGATTTCACAGGTAGTTTTCTCTTTTCACAGATAATATATACCTAACAGAAGCCTCACTGTCGCTGGACTTGAGTTGGATAAAGAGAAGCATGTCAACCCAATCTATAAATGTCGTTAAGAGCACAGAAAAAGCAAGACAGACTAAAACGACAGAGGGAAAGAAAAGAAGCAGGACCTATCAGCGGCACCCTCTTATCATCCACAAAGAGTAATAGAAACAAGAGGAGGAATGAAGAACTGAAAATAAACAAGAGGAGGAATGAGGAACGGAAACAAACAAGAGGAAGAATGAGGAAAAGGAACAAAGAAGAGGAGGTATGAGGAACCGAAAATAAACAAAAGGAGGAATGAGGAAGGAAACAAAGAAAAGGAGGTATGAAGAACGGAAACAAAGAAGAGGGGGAATGAAGAACGGCAACAAACAAGAGGAAGAATGAGGAAATGGAACAAAGAAGAGGGGGAATGAGGAACAGAAACAAACAAGAGACAGAAAGAGAGCTGGAAACAAACAAAGAGTACTCACCTCCGTCTCATTCTTCTTCTTCTTCTGCCCCGTGTTGGCCTCGATGACCTTCATGTGGTAGAGCTGTCTCACCAAGGACAGGGCACACGACTTGGAGGCAATCTGCTTGTTGGAGCCAGTCTCTCTGGCATGTACATCTGGGGACGTGAGAGACGGTAAACCAAAGATGTACTCAAATTTCATTTTTTTTAAAAACCAAAACAAATTTGCATTCAACTTTGTCTGGGGTGTGAGAGATGCATAAGCATTTGTTTGGGTGCAGAGAAGCACACAGACACAATACTGGTTATGAAGAGCAAGGAAGAAGCGAGACAGAGAGAAACAACAGAGGGAAAGTGAAAGAAAAGAAGAAGGACATACCAGTGGTGCTTCTAACCACCCTCTATCTGGTGACGTGATAAATATTTGTTAGTTTGTTTGGATTGTTAGAGTAAAGAGAAGCACATCGATACAATAATGGTCATTTCGTGCAGGTAAAAAGTAAGACAAGACTGAAACAACAGAGTGAAAGAAATAGGGCTTTCAAGTGGTGCCTTCTAACTTCCCACCTGTGAGAAACAGCTCAGAGACAGTCCAGTATTGCATTTCCAAATGTGAAAATCGGTATATGCTCAGACTCAAAACTTTATTATGAAAATCTTTTTCTTGCCTCCATAATTTATTTCCCATATTTTTTTTAAACAAATGTTTCTAATTTTACAACCAGAAGTACGAAATAAACCAAGTCCTTTTGACCTCGCAAAAACTAAATTCTATTGTCAAAATTATTCTTAGAAATTCAGAGTTCAGCTAATCCTGGGAAGGAATTAAATTGAAAGACTGCTGACGTCAGGTACAGATGGGTTAGCTCCGAAAGCTTTTCAAAACCTCATTTTTGACTAGTTTCTATATGTCTATGAAATGGTCAACTAGTAGCAAGTCTAGGTGAGCCCCAAGCCATACTTTTCACCAGTCGACCCAGCCTTCAGCATACTAAGAGCAAAACAGGAAAACTTACTGTGATTTATTTTCCGCACATAGAACGACATCTCTGCTGCAAAGCTCCTGTCAAGTGAGGTAGAAATCAAAACAGAGATATGTCACATTTCATTTCACGTATGTATGTCTGTCTGTAGAGTTACAGGTTAGTAGTGAGGGAGTGAGTGGTTGAATGAGCGGGGTGTTTAAAGAAAGAGCCAGAGATAGAGAGAACAAGAGAAAGAAAGGTAGAAAGTGAGAGTGAAAGAGAGAGAGAAAACGAGACACAGAAAGAGAGAGAGAAAATGAGGGAGACAAAGAGAGAGAGTGTATGTGTTGAGAAGCATGAAAATTTTAAAACAGCAATGATGTGTACCCAGCACATAGAACTTTATAGAGCAAATATGTACAAATGATTCAACTGGCCAGATTATCTACAGAAAAACAGAATCTAAGGTGAAATATAATCAAACGCACACTTTTGGGGGCTGGTTTTATACAACTAAATTTCATTTTCCCAAGAAAAACTGGGTATTTTGTTTTACTATGACATGCATTAAAACGATAGTTAAATATATTTTTAAAAATTCTAAACAGTTTTACGTCTTTTCCAGACCTCTAAACACACGATATCCTGTTTTACTACAAAGAACTGACATGATTTTTCTCACTGACACATTCCAGAGACCACCCTTCTAAAAAATACAATAAAAAGCAAAAACAATAACTAGTACATCCTTACGAACTGGCAGAAGGGGACAAAATAGTGTGCATGGGGAATACCCTTGTATGGAAAGAGGTCTGTTGAAATGATTTCTTCCTGACATATGTTCAGCTAAGAATATATGCAATCATGCACAACTTACCAGGTACTTGTCGGATTTATCCTCGTGATTATCGCAGGTTCGCCACAACCCTCTCGGAGCTTGCATCGTCAAATGCCATCCCAGGAACCATACATACGCAGGAGCAGAGAAAGGAAGCTTCTCCGCTTCGTCTCTCTCTACTCCCAGCAAAACAGTTTCCCACATCATCGCAAGAAGCATCGGATGATTGCTCGCATGAAACGCATAGCGACACGGGGAGATCACTCACTCACCCCTCTGTGACCGACAACCAGACTTTGCTGTGGCAAAAATAAGAGAAGGGTTCCTTTACAAAATGTGACAAATCCACACACGGATGTATCCCATTTCATCATGGAACCCTTCGAATTTTCAACCACTTCCTAACGAAACAGAACTAATTCTATACAAACTGCTGTGAAATTTCCAAATATCGTTCATCAAGATGGTTATCATCATTTCGCACTATGGAAAACTGACAAGACGGTTAACAGAATATCCATGCAGCCTTTGGAGACAAGTTTTCTCAATGTATCACATCAATGGTGTCAGACGCAAATAGATCAACTCAAATAAAAAATATTCTAAAACCATTTTTTTTTAAATTTCAAAAAGCAAGGTCTAATGTAGTTATCTCTTATCTCAATACGTGGTGTCAAATTTCAACGAATAGATATGCATGAAACATCGATATGAAATTTGACTTGAAGTGTATCTTTGATAGTTTAATTTAAAGTTTCATGCCTCTCCTGTTAATTGACCGACTTGGGAGGTTGCCCATTTGTGTCCGACACCACCAGGGTGAGAATAGTATGTTTTTTTCCTGTACTAATTTGAAAACATGACAAAAAGCCAAGAGTATGAATGTTGATACTCTGGCAAATTTGCTTAGTTAGGAGCCTTCATCATAAAAAGAACAGCTTGGTCTGTACAAAGATTAAGACGGACATTATGCAGGTCGGATGCTGAAACTTCCACAACAAAGTCTGGTTGTCATCGGTCACACCACTGACTCCTGCATCCGTTTCTTTCATCAGTATCCAGGAGAAAGTGGAAAAAAGCCTCTAATATACACATGAACACCGTTTTCCTTTCCCCTCTATGGAAACAAATGCAACCTTTGTGCATGTGTAAGATCATAAAATAGGAATGGGGAAAAGGAAAACGGGGTGCACATTTTTTGCCTGTGATGCTTTACTAAGAGATTTCTTCTTTTCTCCCCAGAAAGTACATTTCTACCTCCTTGTACTTCTTTCCTATAAAAATAAAATCCGTCCTATGTCATTCAAAGAAGATGAAACATATTTTCTTTTTAAAAAAAAGAAGAAGAAGAAATTTGAAGTAGTATCCAAAACTATTCCCAATTTTACTCCACTAAGGAACAAACATCTAACAACAGGTCTTCTACAAAAGACCACTTTAATAAAGCATTTTCCTTCTTCTTTTATTACCATCCTCCACAAAACCGTACTTTCCTTTGCATTGGCTCTTTCTCATCACTTTTTTTTTTCCAAAAAGATTTTTTATTCTCCTAAAGTGTTAATACGGGACTAACTCAGAGAAATAGTTTGCCAAATGACAACGTTTGAAAGGCAAAAATACACTCAATATATCACCTTTGATTCCTGGGATGGCATTTGAAAAAAGGATGCAGCATTTTCAAACAACACATCAAGACACCTCTTTGCTCATCTGAAAGTCAAAAGGTTTCACCGCGAACAAGAAAACATTGCTGATGGAACTGTTCGACTCCACATCCACACCTCCGCTCACTTCACAATGAAAGTGCAGCAAACGTATCTCAGGTATACATATCTTGACAACAATAACTGCTGTTGTTGGTGGTTATCCCGTAAAAAAGAATTCTCGTATGCAAAGTCTCTAAAGCCTGTGAGCTAAAAAAACAACAACAAAAAAGCAAAAACAAAAAACCAAAAAAAACCCCAAAAACCAAAAAGTTCAAAAGTAAAGAAGCAACAGGACAGCTACCTGTTGTGATCTGGCCCCATCACATGGTACTTGTAGTCCGCACTGATCTTGTTCATCTGCAGGAACTGATGCAAGCGAGACTTGGCATTTTCCATCGTCCAGTTACCGTGAATCTCAGCATTGAAGTCACAGTCTTCAGACTTTAAACGCCCGGGAAAAAAAACAAAGTGTGTTTTTCAGTTTGAATAAAGAGAAGATTATTGACACAATAACTGTCATTCAGTGTTGGAGGGGAAAAAGTAAGACACCCAGACAGAAACAATAGAGGGAAAGTCAAGAAGAAAGACCAACCAGCGGTGCCCTCCTACCAGTCGCATAAAACAAAGTCGATATTATTATTTTCCAAGAAAGTGTTACATTGATTATCTACACTAACGAGTTTTACATTACTTTCCTGCGGAATAAGACAATTTAAAAAAGCAGATTTAACACTTTGCCGTCTCATCTCACCGATTGGCGATGTTTACCACCCAGTTTCTTTGGATTTTCCTTAAAATATGATGGCAAAGTGTAAAAAAAAAAAAGAAAGAAAGAATTGTCTTTTCTATTTGATATAGAAACATTTTTTCACAGGCTGTATCAATATCAACAGTTGGCTGTGTACCCCCTTTCCACATGCCAAACCTTGATACATTTTTTTTCTCAGAGTAGGGCTGTTTTATCAACCTAGTCATGCTTCTTTACAAAGAGTTCATTGGTGTATTAAGATAAACAAGAATAAATCGAAAAATGTCAATAATTCCTTTACAATCACAAAGTTCTGTATCACAAGTGTTAGGGCAGTGGCATATTATAAATATAATTACAAAGAGAGATGCCCATAACAATTTATATAAGACATAGGTAACGTAGTCATTATACTAGTCACACGTACCTCTTCCAGCTTTCTTTTCTCTGCTATGCGGTCCATGTACTCCTGTGGAGGTCCACGCTGATAGGCTGGGTATTCACGAGGCGGTCCGCCTATACTGCTGCCTTCCCCTGTTTAAGAGGGAGCAGAAACATACACACATCAACAGGATAACGGACATTTAGTGGAAGGACAAAGCAAGATAAACAGACAAAAATCACAGTGGAAAGAAAGTTAAGTTTTTAGAAAGTAAAAGTTTTACAGTACTTGCAACACAATAAGGTCATACATATCAGTGCTGAAGATGACAAAAGAGTAACAAAAACAACAAAAAATGAGGGTAAGGACGATAGATGTTAGATAGGAAAGAAGGAGCAATCCACACCAAAGCACCTGCCAACCATACACTGGCAAGGAAAATAAATAGGACATACCAGTGGCTCCCCTTAGTCACCTGTACTTTCTCCCTCATTACCAGGAAAGTGAACAATAAAAAAAAAATAGGGACAGAAAGACAAAAATGTAAATAAGTGTAACAAGCACAAAGTATCTCCACAGAGGGAAGAGAGCAGGAAATTGAGCAAAATAATGTGCTATCAACAAGAACAATGACGCAGAGTAAGAAAGGTAATTTTGGATAATTTTCAGTCAGTTCAAAGTAAAAGATACGAATAAACAACAAATGTTTGACCCTCAAAAAGGCCTAAAGTTTCACCTCAAAGGCTATCTCAGGGGCAACTGAGAAGAAAATATAAGGGGAGAAATTATGATCATTATTTATATCATCATCATCTCTCCACTTAGTTTTTCTTCTCAGTTGCCCCAAAGGAAATCAATCATCATCATCATTATCTCTCTCATTAGTTTTTCTTCTAAGTAGCCCCCGAGGAAACTGATCATCACCATCATCTCCGCCCTTAATATTTCTTCTCAGTAGCCCCTGAGGAAGCCGATCATCATCATCATCATCATCATTGTAAACAGAGGATAAAAAAGGTTGAGATTTGGTAGGGCTTCTAAAATTTATTATATAATACCTTAAACGTTTCGACATACGGCTTCATTAGGAACATTAAAAAATATATATAATAATGATTAGATTAGATAAGATAAGATCATCATCACCATCGTCATGACAACAGGCAGGACAAATGGCACTCATATGACCTTATGCAGTTGCGAGCGCCGTAAAACCTCTACTAAAACTAAACTAGGCAGGACAAAGTACCCACCTCCAACCTGCAGATGTGGCGCCAACATCCCGCCCGGCAGCACACCAGAGTTGCCATCCACTGCCGCAGCTGCATTCTCCTGCTGCTGCTCAGCTACACTACCCGCGAGCTGTTCGAGAAAAAAAAATGTGTTTAAAAGTTAAGAGAATTCTGAAATTTTCTGGATCACCGGGAGCAAAGCAAAACAGGTGACGTACTTACGATATCTTTAAATAAATAATTAGTCCGAAAGCTTTTTTAAAGTGTCAGAAAATTTTTTTTAACTCCATATTTTTCTAAATATCAATGTTTTAAAGGAAAAGTTCTGACCTTATATATTATAATATACACTCTGCTGCCATCAGTACTACTGCCCCCTTCAAAATTGAAAAATTGATTTAGGAAACATTTTAAACACACTGATCAAGAAAAAGAGAGAGCATGAACATCTACAATAGTAAATTACCACAATAGAACAAACAAGTACACTATGTTCCATTCCATCAGTGTGCTAGCAAAATGGCATAATTTACAGTTGTGCCAAAGTGCAATTAGCCTTTTATTTTGTTTGGTGGTACCACATATCTATTCTTTGGTAATATCAAAACAAAAAATGTACTGGCAGTCACAAAAGAAATGTGCATGGCAAGTTTTACCATTAATTGATGATAAATAATTTAGTTAAACAGTTTTTTTTCCATTCATCTCAGAAGTAGCAAAAATGAGACATGCCGAGCATAGTGCTAACACAGTGACGATTTCTTAAAAGTAAGGCTTACCATGCCAGCAGGCACATTGTCAGCAATAAAAAGTCAAACATAGAAACGTTTTAAACACAACACTAATAAATAATAAAAAAGGAGAATAAACACCATCACACCTATACACTTCCTACTAAAAAATATACATTCTAATTTCAGGTCTTTTAATGTCAAGGCTCACCATGCTAGCAGGTACATCATCACCGCTCATACGACCCAGACGCACAAGGTACTGGATGAAGTCACGGGCCGCATTGGCTTGGGCATCTTTCTTGCTGGTTGAGTTGCCAACGCCAACATAGTCGAAACTATCCACTCTTACCTAGGAAATAAAACAAAAAATTTTTAATGAAAAGTTCAAGAGTCCCATTCAAAGACCTAAACACAGGACACAGTCTCCCCAAAGCTCTTTGAGTCAAAAATGTTTTTTTTCTTAACCACCATGTTTTACTATCGTATCCATAGGACGTAGGAAACTCTGTACCACCACTTTCCTATGAGGAAATTTACTCATTAATCCAATCACTACGCTTTGATATCAGTCTGTCAAAATGATTTTTTGAGAAATAGTGAAAGTTTCAAAGAGATCTTCGTACTAAAAATACAACTATGTGGGTACTAAATGACCCCAGGGCGTACGGATAGGGTTAAACATTATTAAAACATGAAAATTTCAAACCAATACGACATACAAATAACAGTGCAGGAATGAACAACAGCAAAGAAAAGATACAATAAATACTATAAAGTAAGGTATACCATAAAAAGTAATAACCAACCTCACACTTGAACCTCTGCCTGTGCTTTGGTCCCCCTGCTGAAAATTCATAATTTGGCACTCCAGTCTTGCTTTTTCCACACCAACTGTAGAGAATCTGCTTTACATCCATGATGGCAGAGCTTTCATCTGCCACAGGACAATCTGAAGTTGGCAGAGAGAAAAAATGATTAGATCTAGATCTAAGTCCTTTCTTAGAATAAACTTAGATTCTAAAAGTAAATCTAGATGTGAAAAAGCCTGGGACAAGTAAAGGGACATGGGCAAGAAACAGAATAAGATAAATAGAATAGAACATGACAACAGCGGTACCCGCTACAGTGGGACCTTACCGGAATCCTTTTTTTCTCTCTAGGTAAACTCAATTACCTGAGCTCGGGATTAGCGGGGCAAGGAAAGGCCCTAACTCAGATACAGCAAGAGAGATCGAGCGAGCTTTATCTGGGGGAGGGGGGGCTGTAGGTGCGCTCCAAACAGAGAGTTTGTGAATGGCCGGTCCAGTGATGAGTGAGGCGGGGCAGGCGGCAGAGAGAGCTGGTATGGAGAGACGCGATACGTGAGCCACTCCAAAAGTGATGTGTTAGAGGCTCAGTATGAGAGCGTATAGGCCATAGCCCTAGGCCAGGTCAAAAAGTAAAAGAAGAGGAGAGCCTGTAGTGTATGATTCCTGATTCATTGAACTGTGATCGTTGATTCTCATAGGCATACGCATGCATCCACTTCACCAGTTCTACAGTTGCCCTTCCGGTACTAACGACAGCACAAGCAACGAAACTGGGGAAAAGATGTCTTCCAACAAGGACAAAAGTGTCAAAAGGAAATGGTTCTCATTCTAATTAAAAGCCGAGATAATCAACGAAGTTGACAAGAAAAGGCAGACTAATCAAAAGTGCAGATTTTGTTGATATGGAAGGGAGGTATTTATTCATGTGGATTAAATAAATTTTTTTTTGTAATTTCCCCCTTTGCATTCCTTTAGCGGGAACTTGCTTAGATCTACGGCGGGATTTTTCTTCTGAAACAAAATGTCCAGCTATAGATATCTAGCCGTGTTCTACTGTTTAGTCTAATAGGCTATAAATATGTTGTTAAAAAGTAGATTGTAGGCCTGTATTAGACTAGATCTATATAAAATGCATTTTAGGTGAGTACTAAATTGTTAGACTCAATGTAGATCTAGTCTAGATTCTAGATCTAATCTAGATCTAGATATCTGTTGTGTATGGGACATAACAAGGCTATTGTCCATCCCTGTTTTAAGGGAGCTACCTCCCGTCACTTTAAGACATGCGCAGTAGCCACTAGTAGGGTGAGTAATTAAGTTCAGTTGCTGTCCGAGATTCGTGTGGTGAGCAGTTATTCTTGTGCTCGGGTCAGTTAGCCTAGTGAAGTGTTCTGGATTAAAGTTAACCCAAAGTAGACAAACATGGTGTCAGAAGTGTATTGTGTTGTGTAAAATTGTGTCTGAAGTGTAGACACATTCACAGGTAAATGTATCAAGAAGAATTTCTTACAAACAAGACAAGATACGAGAGAAAATGTCGTTTAAACCTCCTGAACCATTCACATTCCACGAACCGTCAACATGGCCGTTGTGGTGGGAAAGATTCTGCCAGTTTCGCCTGGCATCGAAATTGAGTAAATAGGACGGCAAAATCAAGGTTAGTTCTCTACTGCATGCAATGGGGGTGGAAGGAGAACAAATTTTTGCCCAGTTCCAGTTGTCACAGGAACAGCAGAATAATTTTGATAAGGTATTGACAAAGCTGAACAAATCTTTCGTCCCCAAAAGAAATCTACATCCGTGCTACGTTTCACAGAAGAAACCAGAAGGAAGGTGAAAGTGTGGAACAGTACATACATAGTTTATATGAACTTGCAGAGCATGCACAGTTTGGGGAAAAAGAGGAGACCATCAGGGAAAGACTAATCTTAGGTCTCAACAACAAGGACTAGTCAGATACCCCGCTGAGATGCCAGCGTCTGCTCGTGAAGCTGATGAAGTTCAAACCCGAATGCGTACACAGGCCAGGCAAAGACATGATCATCGCAGACACTTTGTCCACGAGATCACTGACTACAAAGGATGGTACGGACATTGGGGAAGAAGTCGCCTTTCACGTCAATCTGGTTAGGACGACATGGCTTGTGACTGACCAATACATCACCAAGATCCGATCAGAGACGCAGAACGACGTCATCCTAAAATACACCATGGATTACACCGAGACAGGATGGCCCAAGTACAAAGAAGATGTAGTGTTAGCAGCCAGAGAACTGTTTGCGATTCGAGGTGAACTCAGCACACTGGATGGGCTCCTACTGAGAGGGGACAGAATCGTCATTCCATTTTCCACGAGAGATGAAATCATAGAGCGAATCCACCATGGCCATCTCGGCATCGTCAAGTGTCAGGAGAGAGTCAGGCAGGGAGTGTGGTGGCCACGCATCTCAAAGGACATTCAGAACAGAGTATCTGGGTGTAGGACATGTCTCCAGAAACAGCCATCACAAAGCAAAGAACAGTTGATGACAGAATGCCTAGAACGACCTTTTCAGCGTGTTGGAGCGGACATCTGTGAAGCCAAAGGCCGACATCACCTTGTGATCGTTGACTACTTCTCGAGATGGATCGACATCTACACACTCACTCGCCTGTCAACAGCAGCAGAAATAGCAAAACTGAAGAGCTGTTTCGCTCGTCATTGAATCCCAGAGACCGTAATGTCAGACAACAGTCCTCAGTTCAGCTCAGCTGAATTCCAGAACTTTGCCAAAGAACAGAACTTTTCTCACATAATCTCGAGCCCTCACTACCCGCAGTCAAACAGAGAAGCCGAAAGAGCAGTGAGAACAGCAAAAGACATTCTCTGACAGAAGCAGCCCGAGTTTGCGTTACTCATCTACAGAGTCACTCCTCTACCTGCTTTAAAAGTGAGCCAAGCTGAGATGGCGCTGGGATGAAGGCTGAGAACAACTCTACCTGCTCCGCCCAGGACACTCATGCCGCACACTGTCCGACCCAAGATAGTTTGCCGGCGTGACGAAGACTACAAGCAGAGGACCAGGCAGTACTACGACAAAACAGCCCACTGCAGAGATGCCAACCACAGAAAACCGAAATGAGTATTGGGAAATATGAAAATGTGTATTTTCGGGGGAAAATGTGTATTCCCCACCACCGATGGACCAACAAGTAAAATGTTTAGGGTTTCCAGCAATATTTCCTTTAAAAAATTTACTAACTCACCAGCTTTCTTAACCACCATGTTTTACTATCGTATCCATAGGATGTAGGAAA